AAAAAAACAAAACAAAAAAAAAAACAAGAAAAGAAAAAGAAAAAGGATTAAGTCTTGTGCTAGCCAGGCACGGTGGTGCATGCTTGTAATTCCATTCCTTTGAGAGGCTGAGGCAGGAGGATTCCAAGTTAGAGCTCAGCTTGGGCAATGTAGTCATTTAATGAAATATTATCTCAAGAATTAAAAATTAAAAGACCTGTAGCTGTAGCTCAGTATAAGGCCAGGGATTCAACTCCCAGTACTGGGCAAAAAAAAAAATTAACTCCTGTGCTAAGTAATAGTGCTAAATTAATGACAAAAATAATTAATTCCTGTGCTAAGTAGCAGTGCTAAATAATGACAAAAACAAATAAATAGCCCCATTTTCATGAGGCCCATAGTGAAGGAAAAGAGGTTGAGTGGTTACAGAGAGATAAATGAATGTGACAAGAGCTACAAAACTAGTATCAGAAGGCCAAGCATATAACTCAGCGGCACAGCACCTGCCTGGCAAATGCAAGGTCCTGAGTTCGATTCTTGGTGCCGCCCCCCCCCCAATGCTAGTATTAGAGTACAAAATGGTTGAACTCCTGCTCACTGGGGAGGAGCTGGTCAGGGTAGGCTTCTTGGGTCTTAAATCCTGAGACCTGAAGACAGGCGGGAGTTACTAGGCAAGTAAGGAAGGAAAGAGTTTGAGGGCACAGGAATAGTTAAGTGCAAGGTCCTAAAGCAGGAGGCAGCTCGGCATGCACAAGAGGTAGTGGGGAGTAAAGAGGGACAGAGGTTTGAGAAGTGCAGAAGGCAGCTTGTGCACGTGCGCGCCCGCGCACACACACACACACACACACACACACACACACACATTGTGCCGGGGTGACTAAGCGCCTCCCCTAAGGGTGGAGCCAAACATCAGGATTTTCAAAGCTCCCAAGTGTTGAAAATAATACAAGCACCTTTGGACAAGTGAATGAATAAACAAACAGAGTTACAACCATCCAACAAGGGAGGGAACCATTGATACATGCAACGAATTAGATGCATCTCAGACATCAGATTGAATGAAAAGCCAGCTTAAAAGACCACATGCAGAATGATTCCACATATTTGACATTCTCAGCAGGACAAAATCAGTGACAAAAGTCAGTGGTCGTCAGGGGTTTAGGGTGGGGTGAGAGTATGATTATAAAAGGTATTTCTTGGTCCCATGAAACTATTCTTATCCTGATTGCAGTGGGAGATTGAGCAAATCTATACACATTAAAATTCACAGAACTGTGCACCAAAAGAAAAAGGTTATTTTTATTGCATGATCATTTAAAAAAAAATAAAATAACAGGGCAGATCTGAAGCAATCACTCTCCAAGTGAGCTCATGGTGCAGCCAAGGGAAGACAATGACACTAGGCCTTGTAGAGCATTTGAAGGAATTTTTTGTTCTCAGGCAAATGGGGAGTAAGGGCTGGAAGTCCCCTGAGATGGGTGCTCTGCTAAGGGAGTCATGCATTGAGGCTCAGACAGGAAGTAGGCCATTGTTGGTCTGAAGGTGTCAGAGGACTGAGACATCACTCTTTGTTTCTGTCATTCATTAAACAAATAGTTATTCAGGACCTACTATGTGCTGCCTGGATCTGGGGACTGTGGCTTACACAGGAAAGCAGGAATGTAGAGATTGCAAGGGGAAATCTGGAGGCAGCCAGAAGCAAGTGTTTCTCACCCCCTTACTTGGCCAGATTCTCTATGCTTGAGTCCCTTGGGGTTCTCTTGGGAATGTTTTTGGGATCAGGGTGAAGGGGCAGTGCCCCTCAGATTCGTACAGGCCCAACATCTCCATGCCTGTCACTCTTGGGTCTTGGAGTTTCCAGCAGGAATCTTGGGGTATTGTCCCATTCACATGGCCTCCTGCGAATCCCCAGTTCAGCCCCTCTACTTGACAATCCTGGCTCAGCCTCAGCTTGCTCCCTGCACTGCCACTTTCAGTCTCCCTCTCTGATCCACTCTATACTATAGTAGCCGCAGGGATCTGTCAAAGGCCTGAATCTGAGACTCCTAGCCTACAATCTCCCTGGCTCCCCAATGTCCTCAAGGTAAAATCAATACTTCATAATGAATATTTAAGATCCCTCAGAAAACACTGAAGGACTATTTTGCTTCTGGATTCTTTCCTCTTTCTGTATCTTCCTAAATTTCCCAAGCCCACAATGGTGACTCTGTGAGGACTTTGACCCTAACCCGCCTTCGCCCTGTCTCCTGCTCTTCTGTTGGAGCTGATCTCAGCAGAGCTGCCCAGGAGCCCGGAAAGTCCAATAACATGATGGTTTAGGACACCAGGCCTAAGGACTCTGAAGGTGACCTGAAGGACACTAGTGGAGATTGGCTGAACAAATGATGGCTGCAGACCAACGGTCTGGTTTACAGGCATTACAGGGGATAAAGCAGCACACTGCATGACATCACAAGGATATAATCACGCTAATCTAATATTTGGGACATTCTCCATGGCTCTTTAAAATGGGAAAAGCACTGAGGAAGAGGCAGCAGATAAAAAAGATTAAGATGCAATTTGTATATGTACCAATTCCCAAAGAGGAATGCAATTATTATGTGTCACAAACATATACTCATAAAAATGGTTTTAAAAGCACATATAATTTTTATTGTTTTTAAACAGTGCCAAAGTTTATACAAGAAAGCAAAAGTACAAACATAATTTCTAAATAAATCAAAAGTACATAATTTCTAAATAAATCAAAAGTACATAATTTCTAAATAAATCAAAAGTACAAACATAATTTCTAAATAAATCAGGAGGATATTTTTAAAAAGATTAAAGAAATTTAACAACCTAATGCAAAGCAAGAACTTGAATTGACTCTGATTTTTAAGAGCCAGCCATAAAAGGCATTTTGAGCTGGGGGTGGAGCTCAGCGGTACAGTATGTGCTTAGCATATGTGAGGTCCTGGGTTCTATCTCCAGAACATGTGCACACACCAATGCCATTTCGAGACAAATGGGGTCAGGTAGTTAGGTGCTAAGGAATTATTGATACTATCTTAGTGTTGTGGGCACGAAGAAGGATGTTCTCATTTTTGTTTCTTTTTTTGTCTTTTTTGAGACAGGGTCTTGCTACGTAGTTCAGGCTGGCCTTGAGCTCACTTTGTAGCCCAGGCTTGTCTCGAACTTGCAACAATCCTCCTGCCTCAGCCTCCCGAGTGCTGGGATTACAGGCATGCACCATCACATCTGGCCTTTCTTTGGTTTTTAAAATAAGATTTTGTTGTGTTGTCCAGGCTGTGATCCTCCTGCTTCAGCCTCTCGACTCCCTTGGGAAAGGACCACTAGAAGTTTGCTCTGGTGTCTTCTCAACCTTCTGCATCTCTTTCTTTGCTAGTTTGAATCTATATCCTTTCCCTTTATGATCACAGCCAGTACATACTGAGCACTTGTATACTGGAGTGTGTGTGTGTTCATTAACTGGAGTCCAATAACAACGCTGGGAGGCTGATACTATGATAAATTTTTAGTTTTATTGTGAAACATACTACATATTCAAAAATGTACACAATGAAGATGATGGCTTTAAAAAGTACTTGTAATGGGGCTGGGGATGTAACTCAGTGGTGGAGCACTTATTTGCCTAGCCTATGTGAAAAAGCCCTACGTGTCGTCTCCCACACAAACAAAACAACCCATGAAAGTTTGTTGAAATGAGAAAAAAAACAAACCTTAAACCCTTAAAATTAACTTCTAATGTGAATAACTGTGAATCATCATTCAAGTTAAGAAAATAGAACAAAAAATTTTACAAACAAAATAGAATATAGAAACCCACATACACCTCTACCCCTGTACAACTCTGCCCCTCCTTCAGAGGAAAACACCTCTCTGACATGTGCAATAATCATTTCCTTGTTTCCTGTCTTGGTTACTTTATTCTCATTGCTGAGACAAAATACCTGATGCCTAGAGTTAAGGAAGGAAAGATTTGTTTTTTGCTCACAGTTTGTGGAGGTTTCAGCCCATAATCAGCTGGCTCCAAGGCAGGGTGGCAGGGCACGGGGGCAACACTTCAAAGCAGCAGAAGACAGCAAAAGCAGCAAGAGCACAAGGCGGGGGGTGGGGGAGGAGCAGCAGAGAGTAAGCTTCTTTCCTTCTCTTCTACCGTGTGCAAACTACCCACCCTAGGGCAGGTGTAGCACTCACACCCATAATCCCAGCATTGAACCATGAATCAATCAAAAACTCTAGAAGCCTGCACCCATGACTGCATGAGGCTTTGGTTGGGGGGACATCTAGACACAAACCATAACATCCCCCTTCTTCTAGTTTGTATCTTCAAACTTTATTATACTCTTATTTTCCCTGCTTCCATAGTAATTGATCAGAAACAGCACAGCCTGTTTGGCATCTACCTTCTCTTACTCAGTACTGTGCATATAAGATTTGGCCATGTGATTGTGTGTATCAGTAGCCCATTCTTTTTCATTATCATATAATATTCTATTGTATGAATAAACCAAAATGTATCTATCCATTCTCTTTTAATGGAAACTTGGGTGGTTGTTACTTAGGACTATTATGAAAATTCTTTCCTCATATTTTTCCTGATGTCCAACTTCAAGTTCTCTAGGATATATACATAGCATTGAACAGCTGAGTTATATGTTATGTGTATTTTTAAAAATTATTCACTAACACTTCATTGTCTCTCTTTGAAACACAATACGATTGCAACAAGACAGGTCAGGCTGCTTGTCCAAGATTGCCAGGCCAAGTTGCCTTGATTCCAGAGTTCCTCACTCCCTGGTCCATGCACTCACTCAGCAGCCCCTGGCATGTTAGTAGGCCCAGTAAGTGTGTACTGCTATGCTGGAGGTTACTGGGGGCTGCTTCTGGGGGTTGCCTTTCCTGTTACCGTTACTTTGAACTCTGTCCCCATTGTTAATGATTAACTGCCCCCCAAGGAGCCTGTGATCCTAAAGTTTTACCCTGTTAATCAATTACTGCCCCCTGGCTAGGAAAGGGATACTAGGGCACCTGCAGCTCCAAAGCCCCTTCCCCTGAAAGGCTGGAGGCAGCAAGCAGCTCATGATGCTGCGGACCTGCCGAGCACTCCGTTCCCAAGCTGGATCCCCCTCAGGGGACTGGCAGCCCCTGAACTTTGATGCCTCAGCTTTCCACCACAAGACCACGTCAGAACTGGCACGGGCTTTCCTGGTGCTACGGCTGTGTGCCTGGCCCCCTCTGGTCACCCACGGGCTGGCGGTGAGCAGTGGCCCTGAGGATTGGCCTGGTGGCTGCCCAGGCTGGCACTGAGTCCTTACTCCCTGTCACCCAGCTCCAGGCCTGGTCTCAGAGACTCCTGGGCTCTCGGGTCTCAGGGGCGCTCCTCAGAGCATCCATGTATGGGCAGTTTGTGGCTGGGGAGACCGCAGAGGAGGTGAGGGGCTGTGTCCGGCAGCTCCAGGGCCTCGGCCTGCGGCCCCTCCTGGCAGTGCCCATTGAGGAGGAGCCTGACTCAGCTGCCAAGACGGGGTGAGTAAGGGGCCGGAACCAGGGAGGGTGGGAGGATGGCAGGAGGGGGCTTCCTGGGCCCAGACTCTGATCCCTGCGGGCTGGCAGAGAGTCCTGGTATGAGGACAACCTCAGCGCTATGCTGCGCTGTGTGGAACTGTCACGAGGCCTCACGGAGACCCCCGGACCAACTGGGAACAGCTTCATGCAGATGAGGGTGACAGCGCTGACCAGCATTCGACTTTGTGTAAGGGCCAGGCCAGGCTGGGGGCCTGGGGATGTAGCTGCCCATCGGATTTCCCTCACCACCCCACCTACCACCTCATTTCAGAAAGAGCTGACCTCGTGGATAAGAAGGCCAGGGTCCTCCTCAGAGCTGAGTCCTGAGAGGCTGGCAGAAGCCATGGACTCTGGCCGGGTAAGGACCCCAGGGGAGTAGAGCCCCCAGGCCTGGATGTGGCAAGTTTAAATACAGTCATGAGCTCCATGAGGGGATTCTAGTCAATGACAAAGGACCCATAAGATTGTAACAGAGCTGAGAACTTCCTATCACCTAGTGATACTGGAGCTGTGGTGAAGTGCTGGTGATGCGTGTGTAAACTGTGCTCCCAGTCATATAAAAGTATAGCACACACAATTGTGAACAGTATGTAACTGATGAGGAGAAATGACTGCGTTACTGGTTTACGTGCACAACAACTCCAAAAACTAGATACTGATCGTCTGCATTTCACAGGGGAGGAAACAGACCCAGAGAAGTTCTGTGACTTGGTCAGGGTCACACAGAAAGTGGTTGAGCCAGGATTCAAGCCCAGGCTGGTCTCCTAACCACTGTATTACACCTCTGTAAATAATATCCATCTGATCTGGGAGGCTGAGGCAGGAATATTGCAAGTTCCAACCCAGCCTAGGCATCTTAGCAACTTAGTAAGACCTTGTCTCAAAATTAAAAAAAAAAAATTAAAGGAGTAGGGATGTAAGTCAGTACTGGGTTCAGACTCTAGTACCCACCATACACATCTATTTTTAAATTTTTTCTTGTCATTTTGGAGACCGGGTCTCACTGTGCAGTTCAGGCTGGCCTTGAGCTCCCTTTGTAGCCCAGGCTGGTCTCAAACTAGCAATGATCCTCCTGCTTCAGCCTCCCAAGTGCTGGGATTACAGGCATGTACCACCACGCCCGCCTATTTTTTAAATTCATTACGTTTATTGGTACATTTTAGGCATATATAATGCTCACATTCATCATAGGAAATTTGTGCATGATACATCCACACGATATTGTTGTTTTTCCCTAATTTCTTTTTTTCTTTTTCTTTCTTTCTTTTTTTTTTGGTACCAGGAACTGAACTCAGGACCTTGTGCTTGCCAGGCAGGCACTTGTGTCACTGAGCTATATTCCCAGCCCCCTTTTCCCTAATTTCTAACCATCTTTAAGCTTTTCTCCCTATCCTGGTGGTGGGGAGACTTACGTCCAGGAAGGTCCAGTAGTGTTGAACCCCTCTTGCCTCTCCTGCTACCCCCAGAGCCTCCAGGTCTCCTGCCTCAACGCTGAGCAGAACCGGCATCTGCAGGCCTCCCTGAGCCGCTTGCACCGGGTGGCACAGGTAACACTGCCGCCATGGTTTGGCTCCTGCCCAGGCGGTCGCCGTGGGCCCTGACACCGGCTCTTGCCCTCAGCATGCCCGCGCCCGGCATGTGCGGCTCCTGGTGGACGCAGAGTACACCTTCATCAACCCCGCGCTCTCTCTGCTGGTGGCCACCCTGGCCGTGCGCTGGAACAGCCCCAGGGAAGGCGGGCCCTGGGTGTGGAACACTTACCAGGCCTATCTACAGGTGGGTGGGGTGTCTACAGCATTCAGCGGGCACCTAGCCTCTGCCCATCTGAACCACCCTATCTCTGCAGGACACGCATGAGCGGTTAAGGCATGATGCTGAGGCTGCACACAGGGCAGGTCTGGCCTTTGGGGTGAAACTGGTACGAGGTGCATACCTGGAGAAGGAGAGAATGGTGGCTCGGCTCCAAGGGACTAAAGATCCCACTCAGCCTGACTATGAGGCCACCGGTCGGAGGTAGGAGAAGGTCAAATCGGCCTCAGGAGAAATAACACCATACAGCCTTTCCTTAGAGCTCACTGCCCACCATGAGGTTCCGGGCTGAGCATCCTGGGTGTGTCCACACTTCATTCCTTCTCCCAGGTTCCCCCTGAACAACAGCCTCCTCATGGGCCCCTTGTCCCTCCTTTGTCCCCACCCCTCACCCCATGGTCCTCTGTGTGCCGGTTCATGCAGCCATTCACCACTTTTGGACGTCTGGGTTGTTGCTGATCATACTCTGTAGAAAATGCTGCAGGGATGAGCCTTGGGTGAATGTCATCTTGTGCATGGTATGTGACCCTTTGCTGTGATGCTGCCATTGTGTCAAAGACTATATATGCACCATCACCTCGCTCTGTCCTCACAGTAGTACTGTTAGGTGGACTCACAGGGTTGCCAAAGAGGACAGTGTCTCAGAAGATGTCCCTCAGAGCTGGGACATGTGGAGTAAAGGGACTGTGGCTCTAAGGACCTCACTCTTGGGAACACCCCATCTCTCCGAGGACAGGAATCCCGAGCTAACTGCGGCGTCTCCCTTCAGTTACAGCCAATGTCTGGAGCTGATGCTGAACCACGTCTCCCACCATGGCCCCATGTGCCATCTTATGGTGGCTTCCCACAATGAGGAATCTGTTCACCAGGCAACCAGGCGGTATGAGGAGCGGGGCTGGGAGCTAGGCACCCACAAAAAGGCCTCTTCTTCTCTTTTGCTCATGTGCCGGGGATGGGCAGAGGGTGATGAAAATGGAACAAGAAGAGATCCAGTAAGGTGTCCAGGGAGGATATCAAAAATATTTTACCCTGCTATGCTTGTAGACCCTGTAGCCCCCAACTGGACAAGGCATTGAGACAGGGAATGGGGAGGTCTGAGGGTTCAAGAATCAGCTGGAACTCAGGGTCTTCAGGGAAACTCGTGTGCTCCTTTACCACTGTCTTGGTTACTTTTGTCTTTGCTAAGACAAAATCCCTGACACCCAAAGTTAAAGGAGGAAGGTTTATTTTGGCTTATAGTCTGTAGAAGTTTCAGTCCATAATCAGCTGGCTCCAAGGCAGGGTGGCACAGCAGAGGGGCATTGCAGAGGAGAAACAGTTCATGGCAGGCAGCAAACCAGCAAGCAAACTAACCAGCAATGACAAGCGACAAGCAAGGACACTCTTTTTGTCCCTTATAACTTATTCAGGCTACGCATGCCTTAGGGTGGGTAGCACTCACGCCCTTAAACTTAGCATTGCACTGTGAATTAATCACACACTCCAGAGCCAGCCACCTCTGAAAAGCCCCACTTATGACTGCATGAGGCTTTGGGAGGACATCTAGATACAAGCCATAGCAACCACTGAGTTTGGAATGACAGTCATCTCTCATTATCCTTGGAGAGCTGGTTGCAGGACACCCCCTGCACCCATGGAGATCAAAATCTAGACACCAAACTCCTCAGATGCTCAATTTCCTCATATAAAATAGCATATAGTATTTGCATATAATCTACACACATCCTCACATATACTTTAAATCATCTCAAGATGATTTATTATATCTTATGCAACGCAAGTGCTGTATAAACACTTGTTATACTGTATTATTTAGGGAATAATGATGAAAAAATCATATGTTCAGTACAGATATAATTTTTCAAGTATTTTTGATCCATGGTTGGTTGAATCTGTGCTTTTAGAACTGGATATGGAGTGCCAACTGTGCCTCAATATTTGAATTACTAGGGACTGCGGATGTAGCTCAGAAGCACAGCATCTACCTGGCAAGTGCAAGGTCCTGAGTTTGATTCCTGTTACAAAAAAAAGAGACACAGATAAAATATCTGAATTATTGCAATAGTCATACGGGTATGTGATGGCTGACTTGCGGCTCTAGATAGAGCCACTGTCTGGACTGATGATGTGGCCTTTTCCATAGCATGTGGGAGCTGGGCATTCCTCTGGATGGGCCTGTCTGTTTTGGACAACTTCTGGGCATGTGTGACCACGTCTCCCTGGCACTGGGTATGTGATGGCGCATCGCCCTCGTCCCCAACTCCCAACCCTCGCCCCAGCCCTCCTTCTCTCCCAACCAGATCCCCTCTGCTATTCCCAACCAATGCTTAGCCAGGCTCCAACCCTCCAGCACTTTCGTGATAGGTGTGTTATCCTTAGATCTGTGGCTCCTGCAGGGCATCACTGTGTCTGCTGGTTCTTGATCATGGTGTCATGTTTCTTGTGTGCTTTGTGATCGTGGATGTGCTGCTCCCAGAGCCTGAGATAATAAGATTTATGTTTCTTCCTGCCAGTTGTTAAGGGCTACAAATCCACTTTATCCTAAATTTATAACTTGTGATATCCCCATGATACAAATTTGGGCTGCAAATATTCAAGGGAGCTAACCCATGGATATGACCCCTCAGAGGTGGATTTTTCTATTTTCTTTCCTGCTCGACCTGGCTATATTTTACTTTTGAAACAAGGTCTCAATAAGACACTAAGCTGCCCAGGCTGGGTTCAAACTTGCCATCTACCTGCCTCAGCCTCCCCTCTCTTCCTTCCTCTTTCTTTCTTT